AAATTGTCTGAATCAGCAGCAGTTGCCGATTTGGTTGACTTAGGAGAACTGTTTCCATCTGACTGAATCGGATCCGCAACGCAAGTCCATCGACATAGCTGAGGATCGAATCCGGAACCTCAGAGGCAGAAAGTAAGTATACCGTCTGCTTGACCAAAGTGCAATTTAAAATAAGGGGTCTGCTACCCCGAGCTGTTCGAGGACATGTAAAAGTGATGTACTTCGACTGAGGTGGTGCTATCCGAATGCACGAATTCCGAGTGGATAAGATTGACTTAAAGAAATCTGCAGAATAAAAACAGTTAAATAAATAGAAAAAATTGTATTTTTGGTTCTTTATAGTTAGGTCCAAATCAAACAATTTTATATGGATCTGATAGCTAACATAAAAATGTTCAATGTACATTGTCGGTTATTTTCCAGAAAAAAAAGGATTTGGTTGTAACCTCGATACATCATACCAGATAATTTGAGGATCACGCATGACTTTTGTTTTTTCAAAACGAAAACCATAATTTCTGTCTCAAAACTATATTTTGGCCTGTATAATAAACGCAAATGGTTCTTCTTTCGTCTGACTAGTACCGGATTGAGATCAGGTGTGAATCGGTGCATCAGTGTAAAGTATCCACTTTTTTTCTTGTAAGATGAATATCATTGTACTTTTTGCAAACAGAGGGGTTATGCCTTGTGTACAGAGTCTTTATATTAGAATCAATGCAACCCAGTTGGATAAGTGCTTAGCCGACAAAGAGGTTTCATTTTTTAGTTCAGAATAGAGAATGACTGACGTGCGGCTGTTTTCACAGTTATGAGTAAGTCCTTCCGCCATAATACTTATTATACATTTGGCGTTTTAAACACATAATTTAGATGGACTGATTGCTTACACTATGCCATCCCTCTCTCTCTTTATGTGTGAAAAACCAGTTTGTGATCGTAAGCGGTCGCCTCCTGTCCGTGATTGAAGAACTAGTGGAATGTCAGTGTTCCATCGTGACCAAAGTGAGTTCGCTTTTGTCACTTTTGTGCATATCTTAGTAACCAAGTGCCATTAAAATGCGATGTAAATGGTTGTGGCAACCAACAAAGAGCACTGGACAGTGGTTTCGTCCTCTTTGGCAGTTTGTAAGCTTTTGGCCCTGACAGTACTCGAACCGCTGTTTCTCGGGCTGGGACTTCAAACCCTTACCTTTGAGCTACACGGTCGACGGTTATGTCCTTATGCGAATAGTTCAATCAATTTAGATGGTGAATGTTTGGATTAGCCCGTTCGGTTTTCTCACGGGCACCAGACACTGTTGATGATGTTAGTTGTGAGTTTCATTCCTTGGTAGATCGTTAATTCCCCACTGTGCCTGGTGCATGTGAAGAACCGAAGAGGCTAATCGGAACAGTCACCATTCAAGTGCCATTAAATTCATGATTCGGTGATATGATGAAAAGCGACGAAATGAATGACTACAAACAGACAAATAGTTTGAAATGAAGCATGAACAATTTGAAATCAAGAAACGGCTATAATAGAAAAAGGTATTAATGTATCACTTTAAGATCGTAAATCAGCGGACTGAGTGAGGTACATGCGATCAGGTTGCCTATTTGTTGATCATAAATATTACTCAGTGTTTGAAATGTACTGGGCTTTAAGTAGTGAAGTTAAATTTTATTTAGGCTGTGTGAATAACTAACTCTCTGTCATTGACCTCCTCATTACGATTCATGTCCGTACCAGGGAAACAAACACACTTCATAATGAGCGATAAGCCGCTGAGCTGCCGCAGTGCGCGCAGTTAATTGATGAAACTTAGGCAGCTCTTCTGTCGTCCGGTTCAATACCACGCCTAACCTATCGGGACCTTTGTGATTCACCACTCCAAATCCCGGAGCTTAGGTTACCGATTTCCATCACTGAACAGGTCCTCGTGACTACGGGGTTTACCCCGTCTGCTGTTCATCACACGAAGGTGTGTAATAAAAAAATAACTACAAAAATCTCTCCAGATGTGCATGTCCGGTGAGAGGTCAGAAGTATCAAGTTGAGTTTTTACACTGCCAATCTACAGCAAGTCTATGTGTGTGCTCCCGTCATTGTGAAGAACATCTTTCAGATGAGCAAGCTGGCTTTTGGTCCCAAATATGAAGCGTGAGAGCAAGCTGTGATTATATTTCACACACACGTGTCTGAGTTTACGATGAAGCCTTCGGTTAACCTAAACCTGGCCTGCAAGGCAGTTAGTTGGTCGATGTGGCTAAACAGCACTCAATTCAGGGTCGGCGTCCATTTGATCGGATCAGACGCTTTTTGGACGGGCTTAAAAGTTCAAGGTACCCAACATGCCTCCATGACCAACCAATCTGGTAGCCAAAGCCAGAACAGAGCATCTATGTTTATGGTTGGTTTGAGACCAGGGTTTTTAGTTAAATGCCAGTATTTCACTGACCGTGTTTCGCTCTTGATGTTGGCTTTTCCTCTGTTCACTTTGGTGGGTGAACATCTCAAAAAAGTTAAGGCAGTGAAGAGTCATCATCAGCAAAAAGCTATCTGAGACAGTCGGTCGTATCAAACCTCTGGTTAACACACTCGCTTCGCCCGTAACCACGTTCTACCAAGAGTCCTTATGAGTTGGGAAAGTATCTAAGGATTGGACCACCGACACCGTGTTAGCCATCTATAAGGGTGGGGATAGAAAGCAAACTGTCAAACGCAGGACCATAAGTTTAACCAGAGTGCTGTGTAAGGGTTTAGAAAGCCTTTATATTGGCGGACGACATGAAATTAATGAACTCAAGACCATTGGATCAACTAGAAGCTGATTTTGCCAAGGTTTTCCAATGCATTCGAAAATGAGATCTTGAGCTAAACACTGCCACGTGCCACTTTCTAAACACCGTTAGGTTTTCGATCTAAGTGTTCATGACGAAATCTATCGTCCTCATTCAAGTTGACAGAATAATGGACCTAGGGATTCTGGTTCGCGAAAACTTTAGGCCCGACAACCAATGTCGGGTCGCAGCATAAAAGGCGAGGGGACAACTATTCCAGCTGAAGGCCGCTCTGTCGTCGAGGAAGGCACAGTTAGACCACCGTTGGAACACCGCGTACAAGATTGGGCTTTACTTGAGGAGGTGTATCTATTGCATCGAGAAGGTGCGAAGGTTAACCACTAGGATGGAATGGGGGGACCATAAAGGGAAATGCTAGAAACTCCAGGGTTTTCCTCTATGGATAACAGTTGCCTAAGAGGAGACCTTCAAAATGATGGAGGGTTTGACAGGGTTAGAGGGAGAAAGCTTGTTCACCCGAGCGCTACTCCAGACCACGAGGGTGCATCCTCTGAAACCGATGAAACACAGAAACCGACTTAACCTTGAATCCAACTTCTTCACAAGCAGCAGACAAGTGAAATCAACTACCGACTCTTTTGTTGGACAGTAGACAAGTTTAAGAGGGGCCTGAATGGGGTATGGATCAGGATTTATCCAGAAATTACCCTGGATACTTGCTGTTTATAGTAGGAATCGAATGCTTCTATCTTTCACAGATACGAAAACGAAAGACGAGGCGATTCTGGAAGAAGAAATTGGTTGTAGTCAGTCTACAAAAAGTCGATGCTCTGAAGCACGAATTTGGACGCTCGGATGGCGAAAGCCCTTGCCGTCCTCTGTTACTTGATCTGATTTATCGAGATGCGAAGGAACATTGACCGTTCAAAACCCAAAACACCCACACCGAACCAAACTAAGGCTTACTTATTTCAGCAGCTGACTTGATTCTTCACAGGTACAAGGCACTGATTATGGATTGCTTTTTCGGATTTGGATCACAATTTTTCTTCACATAATAAATACATTTTGTTTGCAATGGGAATGTGTGATGGTCAGTCGACGAGATGCACCGGACAGCTTTCTTATCCCCGCGGGGACTCGTCAACAATGGAAACTACTCTTTCGTATACTAGTCGCAGCTTGAACTGTGAACTTAGCAGCTCAATGGTGAGGATTTTGATATTCAACTCGAAGGTTCATGATAGGAATCCCAAAAAGGAGGCAAAAGCTGTCTGTTGCTGAGTCTCCGAAAG